ATGACTCAAACAGCTTCCAGCAGTGCCACATTGGGGATCAGATTTCCACATGAGTTTTGGCAGGGACAGCACATGCAAACTCTATCATAGACTAATGTCTATTTATTGCTAGACTAGATGCAAAACTAAATGTTCCAGTTAAAAGACAAGTATTGTCAGAATAGATGAAGGAAAAAGTAAACAATTATATGTCACTTTCATAAGACAAACCTTAAGTATTAGACTATGGAAAGGTTGAAAGTGAGAGAATAGAGAAAGATATACCACAAGGCTCCTGGTCAAGATGGCTGAATAAACAGTTGCCAGTGTCACTCTTTCCCACAAATCAACCAATTTACAACTATTAAAAAGCACCTCAGCCGAGCTGGGGCTGCTAGAGCTCAGGGGAAGAGGAGGAGATACCTGTGAAGTTCATGAAGGCAGGAGAAGCCACAATGAGAGAAAGAAAGGATCGCTCCCACCATTTCAAGTCCTGGCCACTTCACATCTGGAGCTGGTGAGCACACGGAGCAAAAGCTGGCAAAAGCCACTGCTGTGCCCTTCCTATGAAGTTGCATGGAGGCAGCAGGGGAAAAGAGTGCCTTGGTGGCCCTCAGGCTAACAGGGTTCCCATGAACCCACATAAGAACAAGGAGCCACAGCAACAGAAAAAAGGAGCCACTCAGAGGCCAGTGAGTCATCACAAGGTACTGACACATGGCCCGTCCCATGGTAAGTGTTTGGAGTACAGGAATTGGGGGAGACGGGTCCACCAGGGGAACAATGGGGCACAGCATGGACAGCTGATCTTCCCCCCCCAGTCAGCACAGGACCATTCTGTGTAGACTGGTCAGGAATATAGAACTGCAGGGGGTGCAGTTTGCTGAAAAGAGGTCCAGACCAGAGTTTCTACATAACCCAGGTGTACCAGATCTCATGAGACCCAGAAGTACCTATAAAGTCAACCATTAAAACCTAAGCTGCACAAAATGCCTTCCCCAGAGAATCAGCAGCAAAGCAGGAATTTAGCTCAACCACAGGGCTCAAGTGCTGGTCCCCACAGGAAGTTCTCCAATTTAGAAGTAAGCAAAAGACAACAAATTAGTTCCAATGCAGAGTTTAAGTAGTGGAAACAGCAAATAATCCAACACAGAACTGAAAGAAAAAAACAAAATACCCACAGACCAGAGACAAAGTTTGATATGAACTAGTAAAGGTCTCACATCACCAAAGAACGCCTATAAAACCTAAAATGACCAGAAGCCCCCTAGGCCCCTAAGCTAGGGAGTGGGGAGGGCTGGAGGTCTCTGCCATGTCCCCTGACACCCACAACCAGCCCAGTGACAACCACCAAGCTGCCTCAGGAAGCGCCCTGGGCTCCCGAGCCAGGAGGGTGAGGGCTGAGGGCTTTGGCCGCACCCTCCCA